CCTGGCCGATCTGCAGTCCATCCTTTGCACTGCTGATCTCTGCTCCCAGAAACTTCATAGACTGAACAGACGTTAAGATCAAGCTGTCTGACACCGCCAAGTCACATCCAACTTAGGTTTGCTCAAGATACCTTGTCTCTTAATTGCCCACAGGGATTGGATGGAAGCTGTCACCCTTCTGATTGTTTCGCAGCTGCCTGAAATCAACCCGTCGTCAAAGCAACACACCCCAAGGATTTCAGCCACTTCGTCACAGATCTTCCAGAGTCAAAAACTCGGTTGATTGTTCATCTCCCAGGTTGTGGCTTTGTGCATGATTCAATTTGCCATCTCTCTCCCGCTCCACTCGGTGGGCGCAAATTGGGTGGGAGGATTACTGGACCTGAACCTGTGATGGAGAAGTTGATCAGCGTGAGCAAGATTGGTGGCGGTGGTTCCCGACTTCCACCCCTGGCCTAGGAAGCCAGCAGAGCGCGCAGCAGCCGAGGGTAACCCTGGTCATGCTGCTTCGCATGTTTCCGGGCAATTGGTGCGTGCGGGTTAGTGAGGCACCTACAACGAATTTTGCACCACCATCGACAGGAGTAGCAGGCACTGGAAATGGATATGGGCGCAGGACGTCCGCACCTCAAGGTGGGGGGGGGGGGGGGGGGGGGGGGAACCGTGGGAAATGGGATAACCAAAAGTTTCTTGCTGTGATGCCTTGGCGGTGTTTGGTTCCATGATGCTTGGTGACTGTTTCTTGGGGGCAAAAAAGGTGTCACACCTGCAGCTCAAGTAAAAATGGCGACAACAAAAACAAATTTTAAATCAACAATCACTTCCTAAAAAAGTTCTGGGTGTGTCGGTGTGGTGTGCTTGGAAAGAATGCAAACAAATCAAACAAAAGAAAAGCTGGTGACCGCCAGACTTGGTAAGTTGTACGTATGTGTGGTGTTGGTGAGGTCGACGTGTCAATTTTTTTTTGGGGGTTTTTTTGGAGCTCACAAAAGGTGTTTGAATTGGCGTCGCTTGAGGCCTCCACAGTATCTTCTGGTGATCTTCATCTTCTTCCTGTGTGTACATAAAGTGATACTCACAGAGAGATTCCAGATTGTCAAAGTCCTGCTTCAGGGTGGTTTGTTTATCCACCACCTCACGAACGGATGTCCTCATGTCCTCAATCAAGCGGTTCGTTACCTGATGATTTTCGGTCGCGATCTGGCTGAGCTCTTCGACCCGTGCCAAGACATCTTGTGTAGAAGGACCCACCGGAAGCGTGGAGCCCATTCCCCCCACGCCTGAAGAATCTAGGTTGCCCATGCCGTCCTGGATAGCCGATTCCAGCTGATCCTGTTGTGCTGACATAGCATGCTGACTCCCTTTCAACTCCTTGAAGCAAAGATCAAATTCCCCTTGAAGCTTGATGATGTGGGCCTCAACCGGCCCAGTTTCGGTGCCTGGCTCATGGCCCTGGTCTCCTCTAACTGGACCCGCGTCTGCTCAAGCTTCGTGTGTAGACTCGCATTGTCCTGAACAAGACGAGTAAGCATCTCGTTGTATGCATCAAGGCTTTGCTGCACACGTCCCAAATTTTCTACCACCACATTGTAGCCTCCGGCCAACGAAGTAGTCGCATCGCCAAGGATGTTAGTACGGTATTGGAGGCGGTCGTGAAGTTCCACGACCGCTGCCTGGAGATCTCCAACTATCGCACTGTCCATGGCACCCTGCTATCTGAATTGCTCCAACACATGCACTGGGATATCGATCCTCGTAGCTTGTGTCAAAGTTGCGCCAAACGGAGTGGTAAGGTTCGTAGCAAAAGGAGAAAAAGGGTGTGTTGCTGCTGGGGGCCATGCTGGTGCAGGTGAGCTCGGGCTCATAACCTCGCGGTTATGAGATGTGGAGAGTGGAGGTGTGAGTGCTGCTGGTGTGGTTGGGTGTGCTGGGATCTGCAAAGTGCCAGGGCTCTGGGTATCGGTGATAGGACTGTAATGGTCGGGTAAGGCTAGTTGCCTTGAGGTCCTAAAACCAGGTGGGAGGTTGTCGTCGTCATCGTCGTCCATCCCACCTGAACTCAGGTAAAGGGTTCTGATCCCACAGCTTGGTCCTCGGGGCGGGTAACGACCCTGAACTTCCTGGAAGGTGAAGAACGAGAGCAGAGCAAGCTGGGGAAGGAACCCGCTCCCAATCCCTGGGCCTCTGGCCTGATGGTGAACACGCACAATGATGCTTCTGATGAACCGTGCGACAGACTGATGATGCCCCGTTTTATATGATGAACGCGCTTTTGGGCCCCGAGTGCAGCGCTTGGCCGCACTCCTACTTGCTGCAGCTGCGGTTGCAATGTCTGCAATGACGATGGTTGCAAATCCCGAATGTGGAACCCAAAAGACCCAAAAAGAAAGAGATCCCAAGTTCCAGTTTTCTGTCCGGGCAACCGCCACGGCAGCCTTCGGTCTCTTTTCAGTCGTCACGGGGACTTGAGCCAAAGATCAAAGTATCTTGGCACGACTGTGACATGCCTTGAGGGATTGAAACACATGTTAGGAGCATGAATATCTGGGTGAACATCAACAGAAGCCAACAAGGGCCATCAGGAGCGCAGGAAGAGGCTGCAAAGGCGAAGAAGGCCATCCTTGAAAGCGTGCAAAAGCGACAGCAACAGAGCAAGTAAGCGGAGGCGGTTTGTGAGCGATGCGGTCATGGCCGTATCCTGACATGGCACGAGGCCTCCGTGATTCTACCAAAATTTCGGGAAACCCCTCAGCGCCTTCTTTCTATCTCAGGCACAGACTTTCCGTGACAAGGCCTGTGTCAATCGGGATCCTGAAGAGGATCGCGCAAATAAGTTTCAACATCCCAGATGGACATCCCTAGAGTGCGGGGCACCGCAGGATGAAAACATTGTTTGCAACCAGAGGGCGGTCAGGAATAGGACCAAATGCCTCCTTGAACAAGGAGCGAATAAGCGAAGGACGCCAAGTAAACTGCGATGACATCCTAAAGGGCCCTCAGCCCCATCTGACAGCAGATAAACGAAGCTGCAGGTGGAGCAACTCATCTGGCAACGAGCCGCTCAGTTCGCGAGATCATGCGAGCTCCTTCGACCGACTTGCAGGTAGGGCGTTTGGGGATAGGGTGTGTAAGGGTGTGTGCTTGGGACTCGACATTGCTCCCCCAAGTTCGCATTGGCCGGGCTGATTGTTGATCGCTAAGATCCAAGAAGAAGGGACTCGCGCTTTTCTGAGTTCGGATCAGGGACGATGATGAGCGGAAGTACCCAAAGCATGCGTCCAGGAGCCGGGGTTAGGTGCAGCCTAGCGTGAAGAACGCGATAACAGGTGCACCTACAAAATGATGCACAACAAATGACACAAATCCGAATTCGAAGCTTTTAGAGAGATCGGTGGGGAGCCTTCAAGAGTGCAGACAAGTCGTTGCAAAGGCCCGCTTTCTGAGGTCCCCATTCTCAGAAAGGCTCCCCAATTGTCGCTTCCGAAGCATGCTCAGCCCGCTCCCAAGGGTCCTCGAGTTCGTGTGGGTTCATATATGTTATATATATGTTTTTTCTATATGTTATATATATATGTTATATATATGTTTTATATATGTTATATATATGTTATATATATGTTATATATATGTTATATATATGTTAGAAATATATATGGTCTTTCATTGGAGAAGTTGAAGGGGCAGGCCTAAGCCCTAAGCCCTAAGCCCTAAGCCCTAAGCCCTAAGCCCTAAGCCTAAGCCCTAAGCCCTAAGCCCTAAGCCCTAAACCCTAAGCCCTAAACCCTCGAAGTCTTCTAGCCCTGTTCTCCAGAATTCTCGCGGTTTTTCGGCCCCAAACTGGGCCCGGTTGAAGGCAGCCCTTGGGGCATTTGGGCTTTTCTTCAAGCCCCCAAGCTGGACCCAGAAATTGTGTGCAAAAACTTGGCCAACACAATGTTTTTAGGGTTTAGGGATTAGGGATTAGGGTTTAGGGTTTAGGGTTTAGGGTTTAGGGTTTGTTCAGTTCCCCACGCGCAATGTTGTTGCAGAATCCACCAAGCATCGCGTGGCAGGGGCCCAAAAACCCACATCCACCTCAGGATCCTACGCAAACCACGGTTTTCCAGATTCCCCTTATACAGGGACCCTTATCCCCCAATATCTCGGATCCTTCTGTTCATGTGGGTTTGGGGTTCAGGGTGTAGGATTTAGGGTTTAGGGTGGTTTTTTGTGCCCCTAGTTCAAGCTGCTGCTGCGAGGTGCGGCTTGCTGTCCACAAACTGGATTCGCGAATACCCCAGAGAGCCCTTTCTACCCTTTAATTAAGGAATATACCTTAGATTTAAGGATCCTTAGTAAGATTTAAGGAATATTCTTTAATTGGTATTGGGCTCTTTGGGACTGCTCGCAGTTCAAAGGCCCACAGCCAGCAGAAAGTCGGTCCAGTCAGCATCATGTTGACACCGATCGCCGCGTTGCGTTTCGGGAAGCACTCTTGTGAACTTAGCACAGGTTCGACTGCTGTTCGCCAGAAAATTCAAGCGGTTTTCGAGATCCCTAACAGAGGCAAGAAACTGATGCAAACTCTTTGGGAACCCTTGTTTTGGACTCTTGTATTTTTCGAGGCCCCCGGAAGGACTTTGGAATTGGATATTTCAACGTGGCCAAAGACTCCAAAGATGTTGAGCTTACGCGAGGCACGCACACGGAATTTTGCTCTCACGCTGCAACCACGACCAAGCATCGGCCCGCTCTACGATCCCGTCTGTACTCCCTCTGCCAGTTTCAGGGTCATAGACCAGACCAAGAGACGAAAGGGTAGTGTTTGCCTCCGTTTGCTTGTGTTTCTGGGGTGTGAGCTCCCTACCGAGTTGCGGACAGCACCATTGAGATTTGGTGTGAGATTCAAGCCTACAAGGCCAGTAGATGTGTTAGGAGTCTGTTCGGTGACGGAGGCATCCAAACATGTTTTTGGCGAGAAAATAAGAGTGTTTTTGCGGTTACGACTCTGATGTTTCAGTATGGCTGTAGCATGCTTTGAAGATGTGCAGTCCATTGGAGATTACGTGGCACTACTGCGACTACCATGTTACCTCTGCAAAGCTTGGCTCAAGGCTCAGAACGTTCCTTCGCACAAGCAGGACTTGCTTTCTCTTCGAGGCAGCATGGGGTCCGCAGCATCCAGCGATGTGAAGAATGAGCTCCAATCAAAGACCGTTGAAGACATCACTGCGGTGTTGAAGGAGTTGCCCCCGGACCAGCTTGCCAAGGTCGGGGGAGCTTTGAAGGCGGCAAGACCGCGCTACAACACCCTTCGCGAGTCTCCCGCCGACGCCAAGTACAAGCTTGCCATCGTGCAGTTCAAGGTGCCCGGTGCCACGAACGGCGGTTCCGACAAGGGCGCGGACGGCAACCGTGTCGATTCCATCCCCATCGCAAACTCCATCATCAAGGCCGGCGGTGCTTGCGAGTGCATCCTCTACGACGCCAACGACCACGCCAAGTTCGTGACTGACACCGCCAAGTACGATGCCCTCATTGTCCGCATCAACCCCGGCCAGCTCTCCCAGGGCACCCCTGAGGGCACCCAGGAAAGGTTTGATGCCCTCATGAACCAGTACATTGGCGAGGGCAAGCTCATCTGGTCCTCTCCCAAGATCCAAACGCAGATGGGCGCCAAGGATGCCCTTGTCAAGATCGGCAAGCTCAACTGCGGTCTGGAGGACTCCCTCGCCTACTACTCTGCTGAGGAGCTTGAGAAGGGCTTCAAGACCACCTGCGCTTTCCAACCCCGTGTCATCAAGCAGAATCGCGGTTCCGCTGGTGAGGGCATCTGGCTGTGCTGGCTTGTTGACGAGAACAAGGAGCTTGTCAAGGTCTACCCGGCCAAGACCTATGGCGAGTGCATGCTCAAGGACACTGACATGCTCAAGCTCATGGAGATGAACGACAACCACGTTGAGTACCACACCGTGAAGGAGTTCCTTGCCTTCTGCGTTGGTGGCCCTGATCACGCCGATGCCGGTAAGTGGGAGTCCACCTTCCCCGGCAAGTACCTTGAGGGAGGCAAGGAGGCTGGTGGCCAGCTTGTTGACCAGCGTCTGCTCCCCCGCATTGACGAGGGCGAGGTGCGTGTCCTCATGGCGGGCGACACCTGCCAGATGGCCATCCACAAGAAACCCCTTGGTGGTCTCTCCGCTGTTGGTGGCAACTCCGTGTACACCTACTACGAGCCCACTGACGCCAAGTACAAGGGCCTCATCCAGAAGCTGTACGACGACATCCCCACCCTGCTGCCGTCCCTTGGCCTCGCAGGTGAGCCGCTGCCACTCCTCTGGACTTGCGATTACATTCCCAAGAACCCCGACAACTGGGAGAAGGGCCCCTACGACCGCTCTTGCCCTGATGATCAGACCGAGTACACTGTTGGCGAGTTCAACTGCTCCTGCGTGGGTATCTCCAAGTTCCAGGCTGTGTGTGGGGGTGAGAAGACCCTGGCTGACGTCCCGGATGAAGACTACTTCGATGCTGAGCGCCTGACTGACCTCATGGGTGTCAAGGCCATTGAGATGCTCGACGCTGCCAAGAAGAAGGCGTGAAGAAGCTCAGCAAGTAGGCATGGACAGAAAAGGAATGGGAGTATAGCTCCCATTTGACGTCTGATATGTGTCTCAATGTGTCTCACAAAGCAGATTTTGCGATGATATGTCAGGAACTTCCAATAGAAGTTTTCGTGTGACATTTGCGGGCCTCAAAGAAAATCTGAGAGGCCCGCCCATCTGCCATCGCTCCCAGCAAAGGTTCCTTGACGCGCACAGCTATGTTCAATTTCAAATGTTTTCCGTTTTCTCCTGTGATGTGCTGGTTCTACGATCCACTGTTTGGGCTTGGCTGTGGTTCGTTGTGCGCGGCAAGGGGCTGTATTGCGCTTGTGCTGCAGCTTTCAACCTTGCGCTCAAAATTCAGTCCATGATCTGTTCCTTGCGTGCACCGGGTGGGACCATAGCAACATGGCAGCATATATCGTCTTGCAAGTCTTGTGCTAGTGTGGCGACCTCCGTGTTTCAGTTTGTGAAAGGGATGTGTGGCTTTTTGTTGCTTGATGCTACACTGCCCGCACCAGCTTTGCAGCCTTGGCCCCAGGGCCTTCTCCCACTTCGGCACCTTGCGTGTATCAAGCAGCGTCAGGTATGAGACACCCCCGAGCCGTATATCCCCAGTGCTTCTCGTGCTCACATCCCACGAAGTACTAGACCAGTGTTGAGGTTGAGCGGCGGCAGCAAGGCCCGGAAACGGAAGCTGCGTGAGCGTCCCACCAGACGCTGGAAGCTTTGGACCAATGTGTGTTGCAGGAAGGACTGCATCTTGTCCAGATTGCAGTTTTTTGTTTTTTTCGAGGTCTCGGGAATGTTTTTTCTTTGAGAACAGCAGTTGTGGTACGCACCGGTCTGTACACGAGGCAGCCTACCAGCAGCATCCGTCTGCTCAGCAATGTGAAAAAGAATTCTTCGTGGGGGTGATGAGAGTACTCATAGACAGAATCAAAGAGATATTCATTCGATGCAACCGTTTCGGCTTGAAGACATACATGGACAAAATGCGTTTTGGTAGGCTGGCTCGTGCACAGAAGGAGCTTGCGGTACTTCCTTGCTTCGCATGCCTCAGAGCCGGATTGTTTTTGTTATTGTTGGTCCTGTTTTGCACTCTGGAATAAAAAAAGTGGTCATGTTTTTTTAACAAGCGACCACTTCTATCTTACTTTACGACAGGCATTCCAGGCCGACAATGGCATGCGCCATGTCTGGAATGATCTCGCCGTGAGATGCTTCTCCTTCTTTCCTAGGCTCCCCTGTTCGCAGGGATGCGCTTCACGCCAATGTATCTTGCTTGTCTTCAAGCCGAAGGGGTTGTATCGACATGAATGTCTCTTTGGTTCTGTCCATGAAAAACGTATTCTCATCACACCTCGACGAATTCTTTTTCGACTTGACCGGATGCTGCTGGTAGGCTGCCTCGTGTGCAGAAGGAGCTTGCGTACCACAACTGCTGTCCTGAAAATTAGCCCGAGTCCTCGACTAAAGCCGTAATCTGGACAAAAGACATTCTTTCCTGCAAAGAACATTGGTCCAGAGCTGCATCAGGTGGACCCCCACGCACGCCGGACGCCCTTGCACGCCGTCGGCGGCACTTTCAGTGAGCGAGAAAGATACGACCAGAACCGTCGCTGTGAGATCAGACGTTTTTTCTCACCCGGAAGTCATTCGTCATCTTCGGGTGCATCCTGAGACACCCCCAGCACCATGATCCGACACAGCCGTCACGAGAACCTCATGCAGTCAGCGTGTCACGATCGTGTTCGTGCGTTGCTTGATTGCGTGACTCCACCACGATTCCCGTGCGTAGATTTTCTGATGAAATGGTTTCTTTTCTGTACTCTGTGATGAGTCGGCATGCCTATAGCATAGGCTAAAGTATCGGTGGTCTGCCATGCAGCAACTGCACCGTCGATCCAGGCAAATGTTCCTTGATGTTCCTTGACGTGGCACCGCTGTGTTCAACTAGGAGTGTCTTCAGTTTTTCGCCCACTCGCTCAAAGTTCAGCCCATGTACTTTTAGGCGTGCGCGCGTGTATGTGTAGAAGACTTTCAAAGTCGTTTGTTTTTTTGCAGTCTGACAAGGAAAATCTCGCAAATTTAGACACGTCAAGGCATGGCCCGATGAGCAAAGAGTCCAAGCAAGCCGCTGCTCGTCACCTCGCTGGCCAATGGCCGCTTGAAACATGTTAAACCAGATGTCACGGAAGTAACTGGGCTGATATCTACCGTACCTGTTTCAGTGGCATATGTCAGCATCGTCCCGGCACAGGGAGTTGCGAAACTACCTAGACTACATCTCAGTCAGGTGCTGCCCATGTTGCCCAGAATTTTGGCTCAAGGGCTCAGGACGTTCCTTCGCACAAGCAGGACTTGCTTTCTCTTCGAGGCAGCATGGGGTCCGCAGCATCCAGCGATGTGAAGAATGAGCTCCAATCAAAGACCGTTGAAGACATCACGGCGGTGTTGAAGGAGTTGCCCCCGGATCAGCTTGCCAAGGTCGGGGGAGCTTTGAAGGCGGCAAGACCGCGCTACAACACCCTTCGCGAGTCTCCCGCCGACGCCAAGTACAAGCTTGCCATCGTGCAGTTCAAGGTGCCCGGCGCCACGAACGGCGGTTCCGACAAGGGCGCGGACGGCAACCGTGTCGATTCCATCCCCATCGCCAACTCCATCATCAAGGCCGGCGGTGCTTGCGAGTGCATCCTCTACGACGCCAACGACCACGCCAAGTTCGTGACTGACACCGCCAAGTACGATGCCCTCATTGTCCGCATCAACCCCGGCCAGCTCTCCCAGGGCACCCCTGAGGGCACCCAGGAAAGGTTTGATGCCCTCATGAACCAGTACATTGGCGAGGGCAAGCTCATCTGGTCCTCTCCCAAGATCCAAACGCAGATGGGCGCCAAGGATGCCCTTGTCAAGATCGGCAAGCTCAACTGCGGTCTGGAGGACTCCCTCGCCTACTACTCTGCTGAGGAGCTTGAGAAGGGCTTCAAGACCACCTGCGCTTTCCAACCCCGTGTCATCAAGCAGAATCGTGGTTCCGCTGGTGAGGGCATCTGGCTGTGCTGGCTTGTTGACGAGAACAAGGAGCTTGTCAAGGTCTACCCGGCCAAGACCTATGGCGAGTGCATGCTCAAGGACACTGACATGCTCAAGCTCATGGAGATGAACGACAACCACGTTGAGTACCACACCGTGAAGGAGTTCCTTGCCTTCTGCGTTGGTGGCCCTGATCATGCCGATGCCGGCAAGTGGGAGTCCACCTTCCCCGGCAAGTACCTTGAGGGAGGCAAGGAGGCTGGTGGCCAGCTTGTTGACCAGCGTCTGCTCCCCCGCATTGACGAGGGCGAGGTGCGTGTCTTGATGGCGGGCGACACCTGCCAGATGGCCATCCACAAGAAGCCTCTTGGTGGTCTCTCCGCTGTTGGTGGCAACTCCGTGTACACCTACTACGAGCCCACTGACGCCAAGTACAAGGGCCTCATCCAGAAGCTGTACGACGACATCCCCACCCTCCTGCCCTCCCTTGGCCTCGCAGGTGAGCCGCTGCCACTCCTCTGGACTTGCGATTACATTCCCAAGAACCCTGACAACTGGGAGAAGGGCCCCTACGACCGCTCTTGCCCTGATGACCAGACCGAGTACACTGTTGGTGAGTTCAACTGCTCCTGCGTGGGTATCTCCAAGTTCCAGGCTGTGTGTGGGGGTGAGAAGACCCTTGCTGACGTCCCGGATGAAGACTACTTCGATGCTGAGCGCCTGACTGACCTCATGGGTGTCAAGGCCATTGAGATGCTTGACGCTGCCAAGAAGAAGTGAAGAAGCTCGGCAAGTAGGCCCGGACAGCAGCGGAATGAGAGTGTAGCTCCCATTTGACGTCTGACATATGTATCACAAAGCAGATACCGCTATGATGATGATTTTTCAGGAACTTCCAATAGAAGTTTTCTCGTCACATGTGCGGGCCTCCCAGAAAATCTCAGAGGCCCGCCCTGCACCATCTGCTCCATCGCTCCCAGCAAAGGTTCCTTGACGCGCACAGCTGTGAGTTCAATTAGGAACGTTTTCCGTTTTCACCCAGAAATGCTCTGACTCTACGATCCATGTTCTGGCTCGGCTGTTCTTCGATGTGCGCGGCAAGGGGCTGTATTGCGCTTGTGCTGCAGCTTTCAACCTTGCGCTCAAAATTCAGTCCATTCCTTGCGTGCACCGGGTGGGACCATTGCAACATGGCACCATGTGTCGTTTTTAAAGTTTTTGCAAGTGTGAGTCCGTGTTTCAGTTTGTGGCAGGCATGGGTGGCTTGTTGTTGCCTGATGCTACACAAGCCAGAAATGGGGGTGTACGTACGATATTAGGGGTACAATTTTGGGGTCCCTTTTATAAGGGAATCCTACGTGTAGGGGTCCACTTCACCTGAGGCACGGCCGGATGTTTGCTGGGCACCCCAGAAGTCTCGGTGGGCCCGTGGCGGACACCAGGCACTATTGAAGAACATTGCCTCAAGCAGCAAAGAATCCAAGCAGGTCTCTTCGCGTCGTCGTGCCGGCCTATGGCCGCTTTGTTGAAATGGACGTCACGGAAATAACTGGGCTAAATATCTCGAGACTTGGATGTTGTGCCTGTTCCAGTGGCATTTTTCTGGCCAAATGGCGGAACTATTTCGACTACATCTCACCCGGATGTTGTCCATGTTGGCTTTGCCTAGTTTGGCTCAAAGCTTAGAACGTTCATTCACACGCGCAGGACTTCACTTTCTCTGCAGGGCAGCATGGGGTCCGCAGCATCCACCGATGTGAAGAATGAGATCCAGTCAAAGAGCGTTGAGGAGATCACTGCGGCACTGAAGGAGTTGCCCGCAGACCAGCTTGCCAAGGTCAAGGAGGCTTTGGCGCCGGCAAAACAGCGCTTCAACACCCTTCGCGAGTCTCCCGCCGACGCCAAGTACAAGCTTGCCATCGTGCAGTTCAAGGTGCCCGGCGCCACGAACGGCGGTTCCG